GCATCAGGCACAATTCCATGATCAGAAGCATGGCTGGAAGGAGGGTGTGGGATGTGGGACCACGGGCCAGTTGTTTCTCCAGAGCACATCTCCAAAAGGGAGATGTTGACAGTTGTTAGAACTACAGTGAAATGAAGTTTGAGGAAGCAAAATGAAAAGAAGACCATGAGGCCTACGGAGAAGGTAGTCAATGGGGATCACTGACGGCTCAGGCCCCACCCAGACTTGCCTCTCCATGTTAGAACCTGGCTTGCCTCTCAGACTATCGAATATCACATTCTCCCCAGGAACCCAATGGAGGAGCCAATTATACCTCTGACCTTCCTAGGGATAGAGTATTTCTTCCTTTGGGCAGAGAATCAGGCCCTCTATAAGCAGGAGTGCCAGATTAGAGGGAGGGACCCTGTGGGCACAAGCCAGGCTTCCCTGGCCATCCCAACCACATTCCTGTCTTCTTGTTTCCTTTTGTAGCGTTGAGCCTGTGAGACACAGAACTTCCTAGGCCAGTTCACATTTATCTGTTTTTGAGAATCTCTGTATCCTACTCTCTGGGTCGTGTACATAATTTCCTGTTTGGGGTCACTATATAGGCAAGTCCAGAGTCCCTTGCTAGAGTGTTCAAGGATCTCTTTTTACTCTGTCCCCTAAACTGGGGCTGTCCATCCATGCACCATGCGTCAACTGGCTCATTAAATCAAACCAGAACCAGTTTTTTGCTATAGATTTCCTCTTTGTCTCCTGTTGAGTGTGGCTTGCTTTGCAGTTGCTCCCACTTTCCTGGCTTGGTTCTCTGATATTGTCTTGGCCCAGGTATTAGTTGCCTATTCCTGTTGTAACGAATCACCACAAACTCAGGGGCTTAAAACACAACACAGTTGTTTCAGAGGTCGCAAGTCTAAAATGGGTGGGCAAGCCTGCATTCCCTCTGGAGACTCTAAGGGAGAATTCATTTTCTTGCTTTTCCAGTTTATAGACATTGCCCACAGTCTTTGGCTCACGGCTGTTACATCTTGTTTTTGGTTGGGGGCACTATTCTGCCTACCACAGCCCCACTGGTTTTGATGACCTCTTGGATTTTTCAGACCATGGTCCTCTCCCTCCATGGCTGTTTTCAGCTCTGCCCATGCTCATATTTTTGACAACTCTTGTGTGGATTTGTCTATTTCCCTTTGTAATTCTATTAGGTTTTGCATTATGAATTTTGAAGCATTGTTGTTAGGTACATAAATATTTAGGATTATTAAGTCCTCTTCACTAATTGACCCTTTTATCATGATGAAATAACCCTCATTTTCCCTCATTATAGTCCTTGGTCTGAAATCTACTTTGTTATTAATGTAGCCACTCCAACTTTCTTTTGATTAGTGTTAACATAGTATATCTTTTTCTATCCTTTTACCCTAACCTATTTGTATCTTTGTTTTTAAGGTGACTGCCTTAGTTTTTTACCCAGTCTCACAATCTCTGCCTTTTAATTGGAGTTCTTAGTTAATTTATGCTTAATGTGATTATTGATATATGCAGTTTAGAAAGACCTCTCTGGAGGTAGACTGGAGACAGGGAAACCAAGAACTCTGTTGCAGTAATGAAGGTGAGAAAAAAGTGTTTAAACCAGGACAATGGTCCTGCAGATGGAGTGGGACGGGGGCCGTATCTGAGAGACATTAAGGGTGTACAACCAATAGAAATGGAGCTTGGACGGAGATTTGTTGAGTCATCGGTATAGGTAGTGGATGGATTCCAATGTTTTGAAGATGTACTATATTCATAAATAGATATTGCATAAAATACTTATTTTTGAATTTTTTAATTGAGGTATAATTGACATATAACATTAGTTTCAGGTGTAGAACATAAACATACATATTTATATTCATAAATATATATTACATCTTCCAAACACTGGAATCCATTCAGGTACTTACACTGATGACTCACAAATCTCTGTCCAAACTCCATTTCTATTGATTGTACTATTGTACTTGATTGTACTATTGTGTGTATATGTGTGTATGTGTATATATATGGACATGAAGCTAAACATCTGACAACATTTCTGATCTGGGGGGTCATTGCATGAAGTCCAGACTCTCTCTGGGCAGAAAGAGGGATGAGGGGAATTTAAAGACACTATAGGATGAAAGATATTAAAAGACCAGCCCAATAAAAATAGTGCCAGGAATACATGAAGGCATTGTTTTAGATGTCTGGATGGTTTTGCAGATTATTTGGTATTATACCACCTCATGTCTAGTTTTCTGTCTTTACCCAGACTATGTTGAATTCAATGCAAATGGTATCAAAATATAATAAACCATAATAAGTCCCCAACACGCAGCAGAACTATGTTTGAGAAATTCACCTTCTCATAACTAGAGGGACCTGATAGAGCAGTTTTACTCTGGAGTTGGTTGACATATCACTAATTTTGTCATTCATGAGAGCATTAGAGTAACTGTGGGTTAAAGCAGAATGGAGAGGAGCGGGTGCTAGGGAGAGTTCAAGGAAGCAACGGGCACTCTGACGTACCACCCAGAACCCCCTTCAGGAACAAAGGACTTATTCCTCCAGCTGCTGGGATGCTGCTGGCAGGCAGACCTCAGCTATCAGCCCTCTTCAGAAATTGCCTCAGCTGAAGCGAATTGCCTTGCCCAACAGCATTCCATCTTCCTAGGACGGCCCACGTCCAGTGACTGATTGATGTAGGGAAATAAAGGCCCAGCTTCTTTGCCCCAACTCAGGGCAATTCCAGAAGGCCATGTGTTAGGAGTTCCCAAGAACACCCCCCAGGTTTGATGATTCACTAGGAGGACTCAGAGAATTTAGCATATATTTGTACCCACGGCTAGGATTACAGCAAAAGCATACACAGAAAAAGCAAAATCAGTAAACGGAAAAAGGCATATGGTGCAAAGTCTGGAGGAAGCTTCCAAGAGTCCTCTTCCGGTGTAGTCACACAGGACACACTTAATTCCTGTAGCATAGAACTGTGACAACACATATGAAATGTTGTCTACCAGGAAAGCTCATTAAGGATTTAGTGTCCAGGATTTTATCCGGGGCTGGTCACATAGGCATGCTTTCCTAACACATTCCCAAGTTCCAGACTCCCAGAAGGAAAGCAGATGTTCGGCATAAACCACATTGCTTCTACAAACGGTTCAGGCACAGTGAGCCCCTTATCAGTTAGGAAATGGTGGGAACCCTCCTGAAATCCGAGATCCCAGACGCCAGCCAAGAGCCAACCTCACAAGCTGGCCCTTTTAATGACAGCAGACTCAGGCCTGCTATGTTAATTCCTTCTTTCACACCACCCCAGCTTCAGATTTTTTTGTGGAGTTGGCTAAGGTGCCACCTTTACAGGTCTTACAGGATATAAGAGCAGTGGCCCCCATTACATCTCCATTTAGTTCACCACTTTGGCTCCTGCAAAATTCAAGATCCTGCAGGATGAGAGTGGACTAAGTCAAATTCAACCAAGTAGTAGCCCTGACTACAGCTGTGTGCCAGATGTGATATCTTGCTAGAGCTGATTAACATGACTATGGTTACCTGGTACGTGACCACTGATCTGGTGGGTGCATGCTTTTCCATCCCTCCAAGCAAACAGGATCAGAAATAGTTCATATTCACATGGAATGAACAATAGGCTATGTTAACAGCCTAGGTTATAACTCTCTTGCTTCTGTTATAATGAAAAGAGACTTAAGACTAGCAGTCACTTCTACAGAAAATCACTTAGTTCACTACATTGAGGGAGTATGTTAATTAAATGGGATGAGCAAGATGTGACTAGTAAATTTGAGGCCTTGATGAAGTACATGTGCTCCAGAGGGTGAGATAAAACCCATAAAATTTAGTGGCCTACTACTTCAGTAAAATTTGGGGGGAGGAGTGAACAGTGCGTGGTCAGAGACATGCTAGAACAGCCCCTCTGGAGTAAAAGACAAATGAGTACAACTCGCATCTCCTACTATGCGGAAGGAAGCACAATGCCTCATAGATCTCTTTGGGTTCTGAAGGCAGCATATTTCACAACTAAGAATACTGTTCTCAGCTATACTCTGGGTACCAGGAAAGGCTGCTAGTTCTGAGTGAGGCCCAAAGCAGGAAAGGGACACTGTGTGGAAGCAGGCCTGCCACCTGGGTCATCTAACCTAGCAGACTCTATGATATTAGAGTTATTGGTGGAGGGAAGAAATGTGAAAGAAATTAAAGCAAAACCACTGGATACGTACTCCTGATTTTTCTCTGCTTATTTTATTGAATAACTGAATGTATAAAAACCACACAGACTACATTACTGGAGAAAATATTTTATTTTTCAAATATATAATGGATTCTTCACCCCTCCATTATTTCTGTAATAATTTCATCTTTTTATTAAAACTAAAATATATATTTTAATACATCTTCTCTCAAATCAAAGACTATGGTATAATTGTGATTATCTTTAGCAACCAAAGTCTATTTTTAGAGATTTAAACTTGATATGGAGAAAAATGCCATGTCAAGTCCTTCGTACCTGATTTGGTGCTGAGGTTGAAGTGGTGTATTGGTTTGTTCCAGGATCCGGAGGCCACGCCCAGCTTTAAAGGAAAGTGAGGTCCTTAGGCTGGGCTCGGGGCCTGAGGGCCCTCTGGTGGGGGATGACTGGTTGTGCTCTGCACAGGACAGTTCTTCCCCAGGCCAAAATGGAACCTCTGGGAACAGTGGACTGAGGTATACACTGTGTTCAGGCATTCGTTTGGGGTGGCAGGTGGGAAGGACCCTACTTCTTATATCAGATTTCTACCGGTAATCATTTCTCCATAAAAATAAAGAGCAAATGGGTGGCTCCAGGTCCTTGATGATACCAATATTTGGCCAACAGTTCTTGCTCTCTCTCAGTGACACTAAGACCAATAAAAAAGAAGACTAGGGCTGAATTCTCTCTGAATATGTAGTAAAGTGACTGTGGCAACTGAGATGGTGGCAGAAACTGGGACTTGACTCTTGGAGAGGTCTCCTGTGCTTGATTTATTCTAAGCAGCCAGTAGAGAGCTAGAATCAGACACCGGATAACAGAATTTAGACAATGGATCCACAGAATTGGAGCTATCCTCTTACTTTTCTCCATTCTCCATTGACTTTAATTTTTATACTCAAAAAAAAAGGTGAGGGAAAAGGTCTCCACCTCTATCACAGAATCTCCATAAAATCCAAGATCACACCCAAACTCCATTAGAGTGTCCATTATGAATTCAAAATTAAATAACTAAAATAAATAATGAGTAGCTAATGAGAGGTTTTGTTTTAAGGTAGTAAAAAGATGACCTTGGTGATTTCTTCTTAGCATAATACTCATTTCTCAAATGTGGGTAAAATCCCGTTTAGAGGGAAGGTTTGGAATCCTACATAGAAATATGACATGCATTAACACAGAAAATTCTCAAATATAAAAAAAATTCACGTGACCATATCCTTACTGATATTAATATAACACAAATAAAATGACAATGAGCATTTCAGCACAAAACACAGTTCATTTCTAGTTAACACACTGAAATAACTGATACTCAAATTCTAACTACTATAGCATAGACACCTGAATGAGGTTCATAGATGTACATGTGTTTCAAAGTAGAATTTGGCTTTGGGCTAGTAATTTTTACTTTAACCACAGTATCTATGGCTCTTAATTTCAGTTGTTTTTACTAAGAAATTAGGAGACAACCTAAATTTCTGATACTTGAATCAATCAAAAAATAGCTAAGAGTTATTCTTTTGTAAGTTCAGCAAAAAGCTATTCTAAAGCTGCTGTTTTCCTTGCCTAGTCTTTAAATAAAACCTCTTGGATAGTAATCTACTCTCCTAATTAAAGGAAATATTGTAACCTTTTCTCCAATCCTATTTCAACTGGAAGAGCCATAACATTATTTTTAAATGGTTTCTTCTATATTTTGTATTTTTAAAAATGCCAGCAATATTACTTTCTGCAAAATATAAGCAGCATTCAAAGTATCCAGCTTGTGCTGGCATTCGGATTTTGAAGATATATTTTTATGATGAAATAACAATCATGAAACAAAATGTTCAGGAGAACTGTCAGAGTAACGAACCATTTAAAAATCAGATTTATGACCCTTTACCATTTTTTAAAGCTAGGCTGGTTTACATCAACGTGCTCCTAGTGAGGAGGATGACGTGTGTCCCGAAAAACTGAAACTTCATCAGGGGTCTTCTTAACTTGGCTCTGAACAACATTAAAAGTCAGAAGTTCTGCACTGTATGCTGTTCTCAGGGTTAGCGCCACGGGATGCCTTGTAAAAAGATCTTTTGCTATTAATGGTAACAAAAGCACCTTGGATTGGATCCAAGATGGATTTGTGTTATAAATGAATTCTGCTTTATAGTAAAGTACATTTCAAGTACAATTCAACGTACTTACCCTAAAGCACACATAAGTAAAGGCACTCCTTTGAAGCCAAAAATCTGAGGCCGCTGAAGAAGTACCAAGTTCCTACCACTACAGCTTAATGTGGCTGATTTGACATAATTTCCTCAGTCCTGCAGAACTTTCTTGATCTTTTAACATCTTACAATAGTGACCTGGCACTAGTTTAGGTCTACAAAAACACAATTGTCACAAGTCACACAAAAACATAACTGAGCGCAAATTTCTGCATGTCTTCAAAAGAAGCCTTTGATAACAACTATAATACGGAATGCTGCAGAGGACCCAAGGAAGCACTCTAAATGACAGGTACTATTTACTGATGGTAAGTGAGAATTATTTTCTAAAAGGCTGTACCAATGTCAGTTTTAGGTAGGACATAACACAAAATCACTTCACGAAATAGTCTCGTTCTATGCTTTCCTGACAACACTCCCAGCAGAAAGCTTCTAGTCTGTTTGCCGTTTCTTGGCTGATGAGACATTCATCCTTTAATTCCCTGATTGTCTTCCTCAAGGATTTTTGGAAACGTTTTTCTCGGTCTAAAACATTCCGCAGACTTTTCTTGGTATCTTCTAGCTCGCTGATCACATGATCTAATTTATGCTTAAGTTTCTTTGGGCTGTCCATTACACTGTAGCTATGCTCCTAAAAACATAAACACCAAGTTATTAAACCAGACTGACAAGTAGTTAGAAAAAAGCTTAAAACTAGGCCTCAGCTGTTTCTTCATTTATGTTGCTTAAGGAAGACTGTTAAGTTGGTGATATCAGAAGGTTTAAAGAACACAGGAAGAGGACAGGGGTGGAAGCAGTATTTCAATTGTCTAAGGCCTTGCTCGTTTGTCTAAGGCTAGGCCTGCATGAAGAGTGCAGAATCCTATGGATGGGAAGCACTTCTTCTCCAGGGGGAGGGATCTGCTATGAAAACCCTGACACTCACAATGAGTATACAGATTCTGTTCCCTAAGTGTGGGCCTGCTAAGTTTAATTTTTACCTATCAAACAAACTTAAACTGTTAAACTTTAACTGGGGTACTTTATTTTGATGAATATTTCACTTTATAAGGGATGACAGGAGAGGAGAACTGGAGCAGGTCCTCAGGCTGGGTGTTATGGATTTAGAGAGAACTCTGGTCTTGGATTTTTTTTTTTTGCAGAGGAAGAGTTGCCCTAAGCTAACATCTGTTGCCGATCTTCCTCCTTTTTTTTCCCTTCCTCCTCCCTGCTCCAAAGCCCCAGTACATAGTTGTGCATAGTTCTAAGTTCTTCTGGTTCTTCTACCAGAGCTGCTGCCACAGCAGGGCTACTGACAGACCAGAGGTGTGGTTCTGTGCCTTGGAAGTGAACCTGGGCCGCTGAAGCGGAGTGTGCCAAACTTTAACTGCTAGGCCAGCAGGGCTGGCTCTGGTCTTGGATTTTTTTTAAAGATTGGCACCTGAGCTAACAAGTGTTGCCAACCTTCTTTTTTAAATTCTTCTCCCCAAAGCCCCCCAGTACATAGTTGTAGATTCTAGTTGTGAGTGCCTCTGGTTGTGCTATGTGGGACGCCACCTCAGTGTGGCCTGATGAGCGGTGCCATGTCCGCACCCAGGAGCTGAACTGGTGAAACCCTGGGCCGCCGAAGTGGAGCGTGTGAACTCACAGGCCGCCGAAGTGGAGTGTGCGAACTTAACCACTCGGCCACGGGGCTGGCCCCAGTCTTTGATTTTTAAAGAAACAATTTAAGCTCTGTCAATATCTATTATAGTTATGCTTACATTTGCTGGGTATACTTACTTTTCACTCAAAAATAGGGAAAATAACACTGACGTATTTTATAAATGCTATAAAATAATTTTGAAAAGCTGTTATTTAATATTAAAATTAGTCAAGAGGACTTTCGTTTCCAGCCAAGATGAAATAACAGACTGGACTGACTTCTGTCTAAAAAAACCAATGTGCGGGCAAAAGACATAAAAAACGTTTTGAAGATAACAAACATCAGGCAAGGAAGCCAGCAATCACAGAGAGATGGGAACCAGAGAAGTGAGCCCTATGATTGCCCAGCTTCTCGTCCTGAGAGAGTTTCTAGGCTTCAGTGCGAGGAGAGGAAACCCAGGCAGACCTTGGCAGACAGGGTGAGGAGACAGTGCAAAGTGTCCAGGGAGGCCAAGTGGCTGGAGTTCACAGACAAGGTACTGGAGAGGAGAGAGCTGCACAAAGGGAGAACTCTGGAGATGTTCAGAGACTCCCTCGTGAGTATTTCACTGAATAAGATCAGTGCATGCATGTAAGGGAACTGCCCACAGCCGAGGAAAGAATGACCAGAAAAGATTAGGAGTGCTCTGTGCTCAGAGGACATGCCACTATTTCCACCAGCCAGAGCAGAAAATTTTAAGAGTCATGGGGTATTGAATAGAGTATACAAAAGAGCCTTGCTGAGCAGTGGAGAATAGCCCTAGACCGGGCACTGCTCTAGTCCTGCCTAACAAAGCAAAACTCAAAGGGATCAAACTGTTTCCAGAGAACTTAATGGTACCCAGAACTAAGCTCAAGAATAAAGGACACAAAAAGATCCAGCATCCAGCCAAGTAAACTCCACAATGTGTGACACACAAATTTACCAGGCATGCAAAGAAGCAGGAAAACGTGAGCCATAATAAGAGAGAAAGAAAACAATGGAAATCAACCCAGAACTGATGCAAACATTAGAATTAGCAGACAAAGGAATTAAGAAAGTTATTAGGGGCCAGCCCAATGGTGTAGTGGTTAAGTTTGTGTGCTCTGCTTCGGTGGCACTGGGTTCACAGGTTCGGATCCTGGGCACGGACCTAGCACCACTCATCAGGCCACACTGTGGTGACATCCCACATAAAATGGAGGAACATCGGCATGGATGTTAGCTCAGAGACAATCTTCCTCAAGCAAAAAGAGGAGGATGGCCAACAGATGTTAGCTCAGGGCCAATCTTCCTCACACACAGACACACATGATTAAAACTGTATTCTACATGTTCAAAAAGTTAAGTAGAGACATGAAAGATATAAAAAGAATCAGAAGATCTACAGATAAAAACTACAACGTGTGAGGTGAAAAACACACTGGAGGGGATTAACGGTAGATTAGACAATTCAAAAGAAAAGAGTAGTGAAGGTGAAGATACAGCAATATGAACTATTCAGAATGGACTATAGGGAGAAAAGGGAATATAAAAAAAGCAAAACAAAAAGAGAACAAAAAGTCAACAGAGCATCAGTGAGCAGTGGCACAACTTCAAACAGCCTAATACACAGGAAATTAGAATCCCCAAAGGAGAGGAAAGAAAAGTGGAGGTACAAAGAGATATTTGAAGAAATCATGGCCAAAATTTTTTTCCAAGTTTGATGAAAACTAAAAACTCCTAGATAAAGAAGCTCAACAAATCCCAAGCATAAGAAGTATCAAGAAAACTAAACTAAGGTATATCATAATCAAATTACTCAAAACCATTGGAAAAGAAAAATTCTTAAAAGCAAAGAAAGAACCAAATGTTAGGTACAGAGAATAAAGATAAGGATGACAGTAGATTTTTCATTAGAAACAATGCATGTGAGAATACAGTGGAGCACTATCTTTAAAGAACTAAAAAAAAAAAAACCCAAAATCCCCAAACCTAGAGAAAATATCTTTCCAAAACAAAGATTAAATAATGATTTTCTCAGACATATAAAAGCTGAAAGAATTCATCATCAGCATAGCTACGCTGTAAGAAATGTTGAAGTCCTCAGACAGAATGACACCAGATGGAAATATGGACAAACACAAGGAATGAAAAGCCCTGGCAAGGGCAGCTACATGGGTGATGGACCAGATTTTTTTCTTATTTAAATCTCTTTAAAAGACAATCTACTGTTTAAACAAAAATAATAACAATGTACTGTTGGGTTTATAGCATATGTAAAAGTAAAATGTATAGCAGTATAGCACAAAGCTTGGGAGAGGAGAAATGAAAGTATGGTTTAAGATTCTCATACCATACGTGAAGTGAAACAATATCACTTGAATATAGCCTGGGATAAATTAAAGATGCATGCTATGGACCCAAAAGTAACTAATAAAATTAAACAGAGTTATAGCTGATGAGTCAAAAATAAGAGAGAAAATGGAATCATGAAAAATGTTAGTCAATCCAAAAGAAGGCAGAAAAAGAAGAAAATGGGAACGAAGACCAAATGGGACAAATAGGAAAAAAATAAGATAACAGATTTAAACCAAATCACACCAATAAACACACTAAATTAAATGGCCTAACTAACCCAATTAAAAGACAGAAATTACTAGCTTTAAAAAAACAACCAAGATCCAAAAGTATATGCTGCCTACAAAAAATGCACTTCAAAGATAAAAGACACAAATAGGTTGAAAGTAAAAGAGTGGAAAAAGATATACTATGATAAGACTAATAAAAAGAGTGTTAGAGTGTGTAATATTATTATCAGATAAAGTGGATTTCGGAGCAAAGAACATTACCAGGGATAAAGGAGGTCATTTTGTAATAAAAAAGGGGTTAACTTATCAAGACATAAGAATCCTAAACATTTAGTACCGAATAACAGTGCTGAAAATGTAACAAGCAAAAACTCACAACTGCAAGGAGAATTAGACAAATCCACAACTACACTGGAAGATTAAACGCCTCTCTCTCAATAATAGGTAGAACAAGTAGACAGGAATTTACTAAGGATGAAGATTTGAAAACACCATCAAACAATTTGACCTAATTGACATTTACAAAATATTCTAGCTAACATTAGCAGAATGCACATTCTTTGTAAAAGCACACAAAATATTTGCCAAAATAGACCATATTTTAGGCTATGTGTCTCAATGAATTTAAAAGCACTTCAAGCAATTTCAAGTCATACAATGTATATTCTCTGATCATAAGAGAATTAAATTAGAAATTAATAGAAAGATATCTGGAAAATTCCCTAATATTTGGAAACTACATAGCACACTTCTAAATAACCTATGGGTCAAAGAAAAAACCAAAATGGAATTTGAAAGTATTTTGAACTAAGTGAAAATTAAAACATATTTAATTTGTGGAAGGCTGCTAAAGCAACACTTAGGGAGAAATTAATATCAATAAATGCCTACACTGGAAAGAAAGGAACCTTGGGGCTAGCCTGGTGGTGTAGTGGTTAAGTTCATGTGCTCTGCTTTGGCGGCCTGGGGTTCACAAGTTTGGATCCTGGGCGTGGACCTACACACCGCTCATCAAGCCACGCTGTGGCAGTGTCCCACATACAAAATAGAGGAAGACTGGCACAGATGTTAGTTTAGTGACAATCTTCCTCAAGCAAAAAGAGCAAGATTGGCAATGGATGTTAGCTCAGGGCCAATCATCTTCCCCACCAAAAAAAAAAAAAAAGAATGGAAGAAGCCTCATATCAATGACCTCAGCTTCCCTTTAAAGAAACTAGAAAAAGATGAGCCAATTTTACTGAAATAAGTAGAATAAAGGAAATAATAAAGATGAGTGGAAATCATTGAAGTAGAAAAGAAAAACAACAAAAAAGTGAGAAAATCAATGAAAGCTGGTTCTTTCACAAGATCAACAAAATTGATAAATCTCTAGGCAGTCTGATCAGCAATAAAAGAGAAAAGAAACAAATTACCAATATCAGAAATGGAAGGGATGATATCACCATAGATTCTATAGACATTAAAAGGATAATAAGGAAATGCTATGAACAATTTTAAGCTAATAAACTTGATAACTGAGATGAAATGGACAAATTCCTTGGAAGACACAAGCTACCAAAATCTTTCCCACAAAGAAATTACTGGCCCAGATGTTTTACTGGGGAATTCTATCAAGTATTTATGGAAGAAATAATACCAATTCTCTACAAACTCTTCCAGAAAATCGAAAAGGAGGCAATACTTTCCAACTCATTCTTTGAAGTCAGCATTATTCTGATACTGAAACCAGTCAAAGACATTAAAGGAAAGAAAACTACATGCCAATATGCCTCTTGAACGTGAAAGATTCTAAATAAAATGCTGACAATCCAATCCAACAATATATAAAAGGGATAATACATCATGAAGCAGTAGGGTTTATTCCAGGAATGCAAGGCTTGTTTAACATTCAAAAATCAATTGATGTAACTAATCATATTAAACTAAAAGAGAAGAACCATATGGTCTCTCAATAGATACAGAAAAAGCATTTGACAAAACTAACATTCAGTTCTGACAAAGACTCTCAGCAAACCAGGAAGAGAAAGGCACTTCCTCAACCTGGTAAAAGGCATTTACAAAAAACCTACAGCTAACACCACATTTAATGGTGAAAGACTGAATGCCTTCCTGCTAAAGTGAGGAGCAAGGTGTGGAGGTCAGTTCTCAGTGCCTCTATTTAGCACAGTCCTGGAGGTTCAAGACAGTGTAATAAAGCAAGAAAAAGAAGTGAAAGGCATCCATGTTGGAAAGGAAGAATGGAAACTGTCTTTAAGAGCCAGCCCTGAGGGCCTAGTGGTTAAGGTTTGGTGCTTACTGCTTCAGTGGCCCTGGGTTTGCTTCCCAGTCACAGAACCACACCACCTGTCTGTCAGTGCCATGCTGTGGTGGCTGCTCACATAGAAGAACTAGAAGAAGTTACAATTAGGATATACAACAATGCACTGGGGCTTTGGGGAGGAAGAAAGAAAAAAAGAGGAAGATAGGCGACAGATGTTAGCTTGGGGCAAATCTTTCCCTACAAAAAAGAAAAAAACAAAAAAACCCCTGTTTTTAATGACAGACAATATAGAAAATCTGCCAGCTTCTATAAAAAAGCTTTTATAATTAATATGTGAGTTTAGCAAGTTTCCCAGATACAATACAAAATCAATACAAAAATCAACTGAATTTCCATATACTAGCAGTAAATAAACTGATAACATTTATAATAGCATCCAGATAAAATAGTTAGGGATAAATCTAACAAATGAAATGACAGACGTCTACACTGAGAACTATAAAATACTGCTGGGAGACGTTAAATACTTGAATGAATTAAGAGATACAATGAGTTCATGAGTTGAAAGACTTAAGAAAGTCTTATCAAGATGCCAATTCTTCCCAAATGGATCTGTAGATTCAACACAATCTCAATCAAAGTTCCAGTAGCCTTTCCTGTAGAAATTGTTAAAGAGTGATTCTAAAATTCATATGAGAATGCAAAAGACCTAGAATATCTAAAGCAACTTTGAAAAAGAACAAAGTTGGAAGATTACCACTGCCTGACATCAAGAACTCTTATAAAGTTATTGTCATCAGGACAGTAAACCAGATCTGGGTTCCAGGCTCTAAGATGAAGAAGCAATGAGATGAATAAATAAATGTAAGCTTGAATGCTCTGTACATGTACGACGGTTCTTCAAGAAAACCTAAAGACATAACTATTTTTTAATTAGATATTTCCATATAGAAAATACAGTACCTAAAAAGGAAGAATTAATTATTGCATTTTCTTGGTAGAAATATCCTTGCAAAATCATTCTTTGAACTAAATACGTAACCAAATGATTAACTACCTCCATATTTTTGCTATGGATAAATAAATTATAATGGCCCTGGGAAGCAATATTACTTTTGGACAATACATATAAAAAAAAAAATCCTCAAACACCTAAATCCCTCATTTAATCCTAATGAAGAGGACATGTTCATCTTAAAAATATCAATGTTAGCTCAGTGAGTAATTTTACTTACAAATATGAACTGGGATTGGAATTCTTCCACACACGAGGAAGCACCAACCAACTGGCGATTGCGGTTTGTGACGGGAAGGGTTTTGAGGGTGAAGTTTTTCCTACAGTGAAGCTTCTCTCTTTTCCCCTGTTAAGGATAGTTAACAACAATCACTGTTGACACTTCTGCCCTTTTTTACATTTTTATTCCTGTTTAAACTTTGTGTAATAAAATTAATGCAATATTTCTTCTCATGGATTTGCTTTTAAATGTCAATAAATTTTAAATTCCACTAAGATTAAAGTAACTTCCCGCTAACTCTAAAGTTTACCTGAAAACACAAATTTTCCTAAAAAAAGAAGAGTGAAAATGAGGGAGCATATTAAAAATATGTTACACAGTACAATAGTTGAAATAATGTGCTACTCTCTTAAGACTACACAGAAAAATCTAGAAGTAGATCAAGTAGATAAAAGCCTTTACAATAAAATTTGGCATTCTGAATAAATGAAGAAAGGCTATAAATCATGTAAAAGAGAACTAATTAGAGGGTACTATGCTAAGTGAAACAAGTCAGAAGGAGAAAGTCAAATACCTATGATCTCACTCATAAGTAGAAGATAAAAACAATGACAAACAAACACATAGCAACGGAGAATGGATTGGTGGTTACCCTAGGGGAAGGGGGGAGGGCAAAAGAGGGGATTAGGCTCACATGTGTGGTGATGGACCATAATTAGTTTTTGGGTGGTGAACATGATGTAATCTACACAGAATATATTCGAAATATATTACAATGTACATCTGAAAGCTAAAAAAAAAAAGTAAAATAAAATAAATAAAATATCTGTTCATACGCTTTAAAAAAATAATTTCAGCTATAAAAAAAGGAAAAACAGTTACATCCTTTACATATAATAAACCATGATGAAATTCTATGTACTGAAAATTTATGTAAAAATGAAACCATGAGGAACTAGGGAAAAAATAGGGAATATTTATATGATCTTAAGGTGGGGAAGGCTAAAATCAGACAACTCAAGAGAAAATACAGAATTTACTACTACTAAGAAAAAGTGTGAATGTCAAAAAACAAAACAAACCAACTTCATAATTAGAACTAAAGACAAACAACAAAAAGTAACTACAACAAAGATGGCAATTAAATGATTCATATCTTCAATAGATCGTGTTTTTACAAAATAGCTTAGAAAAAGATGAAAACAGAAGAGGACCCGAATAAGTAATTCACAAAAGAAGTAGTACAAATGTCTAATAAACACACGAAAAAATGTAGAAACTCACGAATATTTAAAGAAATCAAGAGAAATCAATAAAATTGACTGCCTATCAATTTTAGCAAAGGTTAACAACATAACTCATACTGAGGATTAGGGTGGACAGACATTTTTGTGCATAGCTAGTATGGGAGTAGATTAGTGGATTCTGCACAATTTTTCATGGGCCTTTGGGTGATTTGTATTAAAAGCAAAAGCCTTAAAAATGTGTATAATTTTGATCCAACAATTTTATTTCCAGAAATTTTTTTTAGGATATGTACAAAGTTTTAGCTACAATAATGTTCATTATACTTGCTGTTTAAAATAGTGAAAGATGATAACCTACAACCCATTGTGAGGATTGATTACATAAACTATTGTTCATACATAGGATCAACTGTTAAATGGTCATTAAAAGTGTTCTATAAAACCAACACCAAGTATTGGCGAGGATATGGAACCAGAGGAACTTTTATATGCTCAGAATGGGACTATAAATTGGCAGAACTTTGGAAAACTACGGCAATATCTACTCAAGCTAAACATACAAACCCCTGGGACCCAGCAATTCCACTTCTTACAGAAGTGTACATATACTCTAGAGAAATGTGTACATAAGTGCACCAACAGACATGGACAAAAATGTTCATAGTTGCACCATTCATAATTGCCCCAAAGTGAAAACCACCCAAATGTTCATCAACAGTAGACTGGAAAAAGTATAGTTCATTTACAAAATGGAACACTATATTGCAAAGAAAATAAGTGGACTATTATCACACACTACAATGTCGATGAATCAGGCAAACAAAATGTTGAGCTAAAGAAGCCAGAGTAGATACAGTATGACTCCATTTATATAACTGACAGTGACAGAAGTCAGGATAGTAGTCACCTTCGGGGGTGTAAGGACTGGGAAATGGCATGAAGAAGGCTTCTGGGGCCCTGGTAATATTCTGTATCTTGGTCTGAGGGGAGTTACATCAGTGTATTCATTCAGTGAAGATTTATTGCTCTGTACACTTACAATGTGTGCCCTTTTCTATATATATGTTACATGTCAATATAAAATTTAGTTTAAAAAATTGATGTTCTATATAGGTTTCTCTTAAAAACGTGATCCAGGGGCTGGCCCTGTGGCCGAGTGGTTAAGTTCGTGTACTCTGCTTTGGCGGCCCAGAGTTTCGCCAGTTCGGATCCTGGGCGCGGACATGGCACCACTCATCAAGCCATGCTGAGGCGGCATCCCACATGCCACAACTAGAAGGGCCCACAACTAAAAATATACAACTATGTACCAGGGGGCTTAGGGGAGAAAAAGGAAAAATAAAATCTTTAAAAAAAAAAAACCCCGTGATCCACAGATCTGCAACCCAATCATGTGGGGTGCTTGTTACAAAGTGCAGATTTCTAGACTCCAACCCAAACTTACCGAATCAAATTCTCTGGAAGGGGGGACACAAGAGTCTGCATTTTAAACAAGCTCCCTGGATAACTCTTACGTAGACTAAAGTTTGAAAGCCATTGTTGTGGAAAAATATTTAACATCATGGAAAATAGTAGTTAACAGTGGACTCTGGAACCAAAATGCCTGATTCAAATCCAGCCTCTGCCATCTAATAGCTGTGTGAGCCTGGGGAAAGTATTCCAGCCTTCCTGGCCTCAGTTTCCTCAAGTGGTAAAATGAAAATAATGATACTGTTTACTCATATGGTTGTTGTGAAGACTTAATGAGTTTATATATATATAAATTAATATATGTATGTATGAAGTGCTTAGAATAGTGCCTGGCACACAATAAACACTATATAAGTGTTATTAAAAAAAGAGAGAGGGAGAGAGAGAGAGAAGCAAATAAGAAATAAAGGATATACAGTGTAATTCTATTTTTGTAAGAACAGATATAGATGAATTTATATACCAACATGCACACAAATGACTGGAAAGATACATATCAAAGTGTTAACAGTATTATCTCTAGATTATGTGATTATTATTAATTTTTATTTTCCTGTTGCTTGTATCATCTAATTTCCTATAATTAAAAATTTCTTTGTTATAAGGAAATAAATAGTAGCTTTTGAAAGCTAGTAATTTATGGTTTATTTATTATGCCCACATTTCTTAAGGTCGTCTTAACATTACAGCTGGAGGACACCTTGCTATAGGAAAACAAACCCTTTAGAGCAAATTGCTCAAGTAACTACACATTTATTAATACAGAAGAAAGTGAGGCAGTCTCTGCTCGATCACTCAGGCACTGGAATATGAGCAAGTGCAGAAAGTGACCAAGCCCGCCTGGGAGCTGGTGCACTTCTGGACTCCCTCCCTTGTCTCCAGCTGTCAGGAAGGAGGGAGACAGCTTTCAATGGAAGCTCGTTACTATTGTGGGAAGTCACAGGTTCTCCCTGAATTTTCCACATTGGAGGTGGTCAGTCTACAGCGTCTAGGAGCAAATACACTTTCAGGCATATGAAGTCAAGAGTTACTGAGGGGGAGGCAGCCAACCCATGGCACTAACATCACTGAGAAAACCCAGGAAACGCAATTAGAGTTTACTTATATAATCCTTTCATTTTCTTTTTCTGACTTTTTCTCTCTTTTCCTTCTCCTGTTCTTATTTCTTTTGGTTTTCTTCCTTTTAGTCCTATGCAGGCTTTAAACTTGTGGCCCTAAAAGTATACTTTGGTCCTGTTAGTGGCTCTGCTCTTGACTTGGGCTCCAGCCTGAGGAGGACCGCCCACTTGGAACTTGAGTTCAATCCTCTTATGTTAACCTCCAGTTTTTGGACACAAAACTTGAGTTACGCCAACTCCTAAAGTCAGTCCACTTCACCAAACCTTACTAACGACCAAATATTTCTGAGCACCTACTGGCAAAATACTCCTACTACACACTGGAAAAGCTGAAGGAGCAGCTTACAAATTTAAAAGCTCCAAGAATGGACTTCCAACGAATATTCAAGCAGTAAAAATGTTGCAAGAGTGGTGAAGGTTCTTACAGTACCACAGAAAGTGGGTAATGACGGTAAGCAGTATCTCATAAACAAACCTGTAAGTGAGATGGGGACTCAAAGATAGAAGGAATGACTCCAGGCTTCAGTTTAATATTTGGAGCACTTCTGTCAAAATCTGTCTTCTTAAAGTGCCTGGAACACAATACATCTCCTTTTTTAGGCTCCCAAATGCCTGCAGCATTCACATCAAGTCTTTTCATTGCTAGGACCCACTTTCTTTTGACATTTTCATCTGTGGGGAATCTGGAAAAAAATATAAAAAGGATTTTAAAATTAAACACTATTGATATATAGTTGAATTAAGGCTGTGACTAAATTGATTCCTTAACGAGTCTGCTATTACTCTGGGGAACTGGAATATTTAGGAAACCACCATGATTCATGCTTTCATAATTTTCAGTTTTAATAGTCAGATTTTTCTACCAATCATGCTGCAGACCTATGGTCCTCATTTCAATTTTTCTCATATCATAAAGAAAAAAGTTTCAACGGATATTTAACACCTTATGGTAAGATCCACAATGAAGGGTTTTTTTCACCTATAGATGGTAAAGAATATCACTTGGGCCTTTTCCTATCTGAAGTGATATCTAGAATTTATCCCAGCTGAACACAGCCCCTGTACTTTCATTCTTCTATCAGCATCAGAAAATTGCTTAGAGTACCACTGAATACACCAGAGGTCTATAAATGCTTAATGAATGAACGCAGAGAACAGCTGCAGAGCTTAGAGTTCTGGAGATCAGAAGTATTTCGAGAGATCTGGAGGCCAATAACCATCTCTCTTTCAATTTTCCAAGCTGGTTGTGAAAATCCTTGTTAGAATAAGAGAGGATACACATACTCATTTTTTACGTCCTCACACTTAGCAAAGTAGTTAGCAGATCTTTCTCTAACACATAGCACAGAACCTGGCACAAAAGCAGCAAAATAAACCTTTAGCAAATGAATAATCATTAAATCTTATTGCTCCTTCTTTCCTATGCTGTCAGAAGAAAGGCTGAAATACTAAATTAGGATCATCCTGATTTATTTGCAACAGAGCTAAAGAACTCCTGGTCTGAACTTGTAATTTATATTTTTTCTCTACAACCCTAGCTTGATCTATTTCTAAATAGAAAACACAGAATATATTTGGGCAAAGATCCTTCCTTCCTTCAGATTGTAAACTAGATGTAAAAAACACTGAATTTCGTTGCAGGTATGTTAAAATGCAGAGTAATAATATTAGCAAAAGTAAGTTTGATATTTTTATTAACCAGCTTCTGATACCCTGGCATGTATCTTAAACTTCTAAACTAAATTATAGAAGTATAAACATATTGCTGTCACTTCAAATTTAACTAAAGAGGTTATTTAAAAAGGATTTGGGAACTACAGTTCAAAATCGAAGGTTCAAGTAGAACTGTCTTTTGCTTTTTATAACAGTCAAAAGTGGTTGGCTTAACTACAGCAAAATCTTACACGTGAAATGTCAGTCCTTTTAACTTGGAATTTGGCAAACAGCGAGAAGCACATCCAATGGCCGAGCAACATTTCACCATGATTTTAGCAACTCATAACAGAACTGAAAGAAAATTAAAATGGTAAAAGTTAGTAACTTCAAAGCTAAGGGGAACATATTCACCTTTCCCTGTATGTTTTAGATATCATGGAATCATGTTAGAAGCCAAAAGCAAATATTTTCTTCCAACACCTGCAGCTTTGTTAGTGACATTTTCCAAGGCCTTGGCTCTTTAATAAGCCAAGTCATATTTAGCTATGCACTGAGGAGTCTGATTTCAGTTCCGTAGGCTTGCACATTTCCCAACCACCGCTTCTTCCAGGCACCTCGTTCCCTCTGCCACTAGGCCTTTGCACCCTGACTCCTCCTGGCATACTAACTCCTGCTCATCTTTCAGCCTGTGTTGCTTCTCCAGGGAAACCTTCCCTGACACCCAGATCAAGTCAGATCCCCTCTATTATTAGCCCTCGTAGAACACACATGTGTCCCTCCCAGCACTTCACAAAGTTGTAATCTTACATTTATCCCAGAGATTCTCTGATCAATGTCTTCCTCCCCCACCAGCCTGCGAGTGAGTTCCACGAGGGCATGGTGGGGGCGTGTGCTTTTTCTCACTTTTTGTCCCCACGGTTTACCTGGTGACTGGCACACAGGAAACGTTAATACGTATTTGGAAGTAACGAAGAGCAAGTCAAGGAGACGAGAACTCGGCCGCCAAGCAGCAGCGCGCGCGGGCGCGCTCGGAGCCCGGGGTCGGGCGGGCTCCGCCCCTTTCTCGCGGCTCGGGGCCGCCGCAGGGAGAGAGGGCGGGGCCGCCCAGTCACAGGTGCGGATGCGGCCGGCGAGCCGCCCTTCCTCAGGGGTCATCGCGCGTCTCCGCACGGCTGCGGTCTCCCTCGCCCCGAGCCACGCCCGGGGTGTGGGCGGGCAGCGATGGGGGAAAAGAAGAGTCAACCAAGAGTTATTACCGTTAACAGCGAAGGCAGCGACTAACGTCGACGGCAGAGATTGCGTCTCTCCTCGCTTCCGCCCCGTCGCCGCGGGAACCGGAAATCCGGCTGCCCCGGGTCACGTGCCCAGCCGCCATATTGGTTCGGGTGGCAGCTGCCGCCGTGAGGGGGTGCGCTAGCGCGGCGCAGCTTCTCTGGGCGTCGTTTTCATCCTGGGGGAAGGGTCGGTGCAGTGTGAGGGGAGGTGGAGGAGATGGCGGCCTCGGCGCGGGAAGATGGCGCCCGCGGCCAAGAGCAAGGGCGGCGGGGCTGCGAGCACTATGACAGAGGATGTCTCCTGAAGGTGACGACTTCAATGGGCTCTTCCCCTGCGAGCTGCCGCCGGGCTGGGCTGGGGGCCGGGTGGGCAAGGCAGTTAGGCTTGGGCTTAAGTTTGAGGCTAGGCTGTTTATCAGCATACCTTCTCCACCTCGACCTGGGTTCCTGCCGTAGAGGACGTTTTTGGCAAGGCGACCACGCGCCCCACCTTTCCTCCTGTTTTGTAGTCTGCAGGCAAAGCCCGTTTTGCTTGGGAAGAGCCTGAGCTTGCACATCGGTCACTTTATCAATGAGTTTCTCTATTTAGTCTTTTGCTGCTGGAAGTAGACTGAGGCAGCCCCGGGCCTCTGCTGGCTTTTCCCCAGGATTATTTTCAGGTGTTTGATGATATAATGGAAAGCGATAAGCCGGTGGAGAATCGGAATACGATTTCAGCTCCTGTCGTAAACAAGTTTTACAGTTTGCAGCTTCATTTTAGAGTCACTGAGTATGCCTAAACCTGCCAAGGGGAAAATGTACATGTGAAAGAGGAAGACAATCACGTAATTGCCACTAATTAGGAAATTATGTATGGGAACGTGCCTAGTATGCATATATTGTTACTTTTGCTGTCTACTTTGAGGAAAATTCCTCGTCACTCTAGAGTTTTTTAAATTGGCACCCATTCTGTTAAAGTTTTTGATTTTTCTTGCAAGAAGCAGTGTAAAGATTTTTCTTAGAAAGCTTAAGCTTTGGAGTCCCACAGCCCTTCTCCCAAATCTTAGCTTTGCCTCTTAACAGCTCAGTGTTTTTGAGCAAGCTACTCTTTGCGCCATATGTAAAACAGGGGTGATGGAAGTTCTTGCATAAAGTATGGGGCCCGAAAGGACAGCCTAAAGCCTTATTTGTGGCCCGTGGTTTGGTGAACATTCCTCCAACTGCACTGGATGAAGCTCTTCCAAAGTTGGTCATTCACCAAGTGTTGTGTAAGGAAATTGAATGCTATCCTTAGGATTTCATTTCCACTGAGATGTTCTGTTATTCTTTCAAACCTGAGGTCTAAAACTGAATTCAGCATCTTGGCCCGCCCCTCTTCCCCCAAGAAACCACACAAACACATCTGTGTGTCATAGCACTTAAGATGCTTCGCCCTGAATGTGAAATGCTTTTTGCCCTCTCCCTCCATTATTCTTAAATACCAGAGGCCAAGTGAAGAGTTTTAAGGAGGAAGTAATCAACTAAATCAAATGCTGCTGTTTGAGTAAGATAAGAACTGAAGATTGGCCTTTAATTTGGCAAAGAAGAGGTAGCTGGTGATCTTGACAAGAAACATTTGAGTGGAGAGATGGGGGCAAAGCCTGATTAGAGAGGATTCAAGAGAGGAGAGAAGTGGTGGAACTGGAAATAGCCTTTATAGACAATTCTTGGAGTTTTGCTGTGAAAGAGAGCAAGAAAATGAGCCTGTGGGTTGTTGGGAGATGTGACATCATGGGACTTTTTTCCCCTTTGAGTTGGGAGATATTGCAGCATGTTTGTATATTCTTGGAAATGACCCAGTAAAGTGAGAATGTGTTACAATGCAAGAGGGAGAGGAAAAACTGTAGGAGTACTGTCTTTGAGAAGCCAAAGAGAAGGTGACATTTAGTGCACAAGTGGAGGAGTTGGTCTTAGATAAAAACGTGGACTCTGCAGACTCTAACAGAAGGGAAGTGGGAGTATGAGGTAGATTTGCGAGTAGGTTGATAGAGTTTGTGGGAGGATAGTCTCTTGTTTATTTCTATTTTCCTAGTGAAATAAGCAAGGTCATCAGAGTGTAAGGAGTGAGGAAGAGATTGTTCGAGGTTTAAAGAGAGAGGAGAAGGTGTGAAATAACCGTTTAGATCCTGGGTCCTAGACTCGAGAAGAATGAGGAAATTGACTAGGGAAATATGGTAGTAAGAGCCTGCTTTTTATTAGTGGTTATGACTTAAAAGTAAGACCAGTCATTTTGGTGGTGCTCTTTCTTTAGCCATATTCAACTGTTCCTGTGTAGATTGAGTAGGAGAGAATTGGATGTAATCAGAGTGGGGATTTTGGATAGGAGTATGAAGAGGGAAGGAAGAAACCAGGGTATGTACAAGGGAAGAAATGGAATTAATTGGAAAGAGAGTAGGTAGTGGTTAGAGAATTTCATGCTTGAAATTAAGATACAAATAGCATTCAGTTCTTCTTCCAGAGCAGTGGTTCTCAAAGTATGGTGAATGGACCATGGGGGATTCCTGAGGCCTTTTTAGGGGATCCTCAAGGTCAAAATTACTGTCTAATACTAAGACGGTATTTGTCTTTTTCAGTGTGTGCAAAAGCAATGATTAAAACTGTTGCACCTTAGCACAAATTAAGTTAGTGGCCTGTACAACACCTATAGTTTAAAAAAAAAAAGCTAGAATGTCATTGATAACATTAAAGCGGTACAGTGATTAATTTTATAAAATCTCAACCCTTGAATGCATTTTTTTAATACATGTTTGATGAAATCAGATGTTTTTATCAAACATTTCTGCAAATTGAAGTTTGGTGGTTTCATGAGGAAAAGCTCTTGTGCAATTTGATTGTGAACTGAACTGGTTGCTTTTTTCATGGAACAACATGTTTTGCTTGAACTATGGTTATTAACACTTGGGTATTTGGTGGGCATTTTCTTGAAAAGGAGGAAAGTGAGACTGTCATTACAAGGAAAACAGTTGGCACTGATAAAGTTTGAGCTTTCATATAAAAACTAGAATTTTGGGAAACTTGTATTAGCCTCTGTGAGCTTGAAAGCTTCTGAATACCTAAAGACTTTTCTGATGAAATGGGTGGTGATAGTAACAAATGTGACTTTTTTGATATTGCGTGTCAAATGTGTGAACATTTGCAGGATCTGCGTAACTCAGTGAACTGATATTTTCCAAATGACCAATGCATGGGTAAAAGATACATTCAGAGTGCAAGATAGGTGAGTGGATTCTAGTGTAACAGAGGGAGAAAAGTTCACTGATGGGATTTCAGATTCCATGTTACAACTAACTGATTATAAGAGTTGTTGAGTTTTGGCATAGTATCAGAGAAGAATATCCATAATTCTTTGAAAAGCCTATTAAAATACTCTTCCTTTTTCCAGCTACATATTTGTGTGAGGCCAAAGTTTCTTCATATACTTCAACCAAAACTGATTGAATGCAGAAGCAGAAATGAGAATCCTGCTATTTTTTGGGGAAATACAGTTATTTTTCATTAAAATGTTATGTTAATGTGTAATGAATTTGTTACTATTATTTTAACAAGTAATATTTTAAAAACGTATTAGTTTTAATTTATAATATGGTAATAAGTGTCAGTAGATATAACTCACATAAACAAAAGCACTTTGGGATTCTCAGTAATTTTTAAGAGTGTAAAGGCGTCCTGAGACCAAAACGTCTGAGAACCACTCTTCTATGGTATGACTAAGGGAATATGTGGCTGAGGAGGGTTGGAGGACAAGGCCATTGGAAGTGAGAAAGTCAAGGAAGATAATTCAGGGTGTTGGAGGGATTATCATTGTGGATGTGCAGATCACAAAGATTTAGGAGAAGAGTAGTGTTGGAGAGAAAGGGAACCAGTTGAGTGTTAAAATCTTTAAGGAATGAACTGTATTGTGGTAAGTCACAGCATAGGAAGTCTTGAGAAATGAGTGGATCTGCAAGGTCACAGTGTACCAGAAAGTATTGGGTTAGCTTTACTGGCCTGGAAACTTGTTGATGTACTAGTTAGGGTAAGGCTAAGTTGCTGTAACAAAAACACCCAACAGAAATAAAGAGTTTATTCTTTCCCACCTAACAATTCCAAGGTGGGTGATCAAGTTTGGCCATGAGGCTCTGTTCCACATGATCACTCCAGGGACAAGTTTTTTCCATTGTATTATTTTGCCATGTTTTAGGGCATATAGTTATCAGCTGGGTTGCTGCCATGTCCAGGTTTCATTTGATGGACAGGGGAAATGGAGCATGGAGGAAGAGGCAGGCCCAGTTTCTTAAGTTTCTCAGGCCCAGGAGGGGTGCTGATTTCTTCTGATCGTATTCTGTTGGTAAGAGCTTAATTTGGCCACACCTAACAGCAAGGAAGGCTGGGAACTGTAGTATAGCTGGGCAATCGTATGCCTCAGAAGGAGAGAATAGATTTTGGTGGACAGCTGGCAGTCTTTGACATTCTTGAAAACAAGGGCTATCTCTTACATTTATTGCATCCTTTCAAATATCAGGCATATAGACAACTCAAGAGAATTAAAATATAATCTTTGTAATATTTAATGTTTAGAGGTTGGAGTAGGTAAATGAATTTATCTGGAAATGTCTAAGAAGTTGCCTGCTTGCCATTTAGGCCGAGAATGAGTTTAGGGTGTTGTGAGATTAGTTTTTCAGTCCTTCATAATTTCCATCCTTTGTAATTCTTTTGTCATTAAAGACAAGGTTGTGTTCAACTTCATACAGTCATAGATGTTGAAGGGAATAGTTGAAATGTGGAGAAAACAGTGAAATGTTACATGTATGATCAGTTTACCAGCTGATCCATTGGTTGTCATCTTTGACCTTGTTCCAGGAGGAGGAGGAAGAAAATTTTTTTTGCATCGTAAACTTGTCTTCTCTTGCTTCTTATAACTCTTTTTCTCCCCTGGGCGTTAGGCACCTTGCTGTGACAAGCTTTATACTTGCCGCTTGTGTCATGATAACAATGAAGATCATCAGCTTGATCGCTTTAAAGTAAAGGAAGTGCAGTGCATAAACTGTGAAAAAATTCAGCATGTAAGATTTTATCACATACTTCTATTTTCTTTTAAAAATTTTTTACTAAGGTGGTTTAAAA